AAGCTTTCAACGCTAACCCGATGCATAAAACTAAACTTGACTATTGAAAACTAAATTATGTATAGTTGCCAATGGTTAAGCTTACTTTCCTTTGTTTTTTAATTCGGTCGTCAGCATTATTTGTTACCTCACTTTCTTACAACATCATAAAATCAGTTTACGAACCAATAACAAACTTTTACCAAACAATTTTGGTATGCTTTTGAATATAACTATACAGGTGGGCGGTGGAAAATTACTCCATAGGAAAATGGGCGATAACTGTTGGGCTGGCGATGATCATCTGAACGGAAAATGATGGGTAATTGGAAATTTTGCTGGGCGGTATTGGATTTTGAGTATTAAAAATGTATTTCCACTTATGCTATCCTAAAGCAAGATAATAATAGATTTATAAAAAAAAAAAGGCAGGAAGCTTAAATGGAAATAACTGGATGACATTCCAAGATGAGATATAAATATCTCCGCAAACAAAGGATATTTGGTATGTTTGAAAGTTTTGCGAAGTGCCATTTAAATATTTCTTCAAACGAAATAACATATTTTTTTCAGATATAAATCAGACGTATTTCAATAACAACGCTCGGTCTCTTAGTTATACTCTTTGTTATGATTTTGCAATGTCGAGGTGCGTAGCACGATGTTTCAAGAAGGCGGCATGACTAATCTGCAGTCATGTCGGGTTGTTGTTCGAGCCGATATGATGAAAAACCCGCAAACCCAATGCGGACAGTGCATCACTGAAGACCACCGTTGAAGCATCTAAAAGGTATTATGCAACTATATATATATATATATATATATATATATATATATATATATATATATATATATATATATGTGACGATTTACACACCTGGCCCAGTGTCGGATCCTTGTTTACGGCGCCAACGGTGACGTCGCTCCTCCTGGTCGTTCCTCCTGGGTCCAGAATGCCGCTCCAACCCTTTGGTCAGATGATCACCAGCCTCGCCTTCCCAACTCGCTTCCAATACCTGGTCACTGAAAGCAACTATACGATCTCGGTCTGTCTACCCATTTGTGTTTAGATCTTAGACAGACAGGACCAGCTAGGGATCCCGATAGGTTGAGTCCGACATGGGTGGCAAAACACCATAAAAAAAATGTCACGACACCAAACAAAAATGCTGATAAAAATAACAACCTTTTATATCTTAAAGTCCGTTACATAAAAACAAAATTGTTCTCAATTCCGACCTGCTCTGTGGACTGTGGCATAACATTTATCACACAATAGGAAAATGTCGATTTTTTCTAGAATCATGTATGTATGTCGGATGTGGTCAGTTCGACACTGGGGCTAATTTCTATCATCATTCGCAGTTGATTCTTCTCCGACTTGAGTTGTATTTCTTCTTCTTCTTCTGTTTAGACTGGTAGATTTCTTTGTTTCAACCCAGTGGAAGATTTCTTGCTTCGATTCAGTGGAAGATTTCTTGCTTCGATTCATGGAAGATTTATATTCAATTCGGTGGAAGATTTCTTGTCTTCAACTATGGGCTGGAAGGATTTCTTGTTTATAGGATTCTTCTGTCGTCCGAGGGGTGAACTGCAACTCACGCCCAACCTAACTCCAACTTCAACTCAACTTCAGCTCCAACTTCAGCTCCAACTTCAGCTCCAACTCTTCTCAGGTTTTCAGGCAATCTTCTTCTTCATCTATTGGGCTGGAAGTTCTTCTGTCTTCGACTTGGGCTATAGTCCTTCTGTCTGAGGGGTTCTTTTGCCCGCAAAGGGGCGAAATTGGTCTTATGTCCGCGTTCAGGATCTTCCCCGCCCGCGGTCCTGCTGCAACTCAGCCCAACTATCTCCAACTCTTCTCAGGTTTTCAGGCAATCTTCTTCTTCATCTACTTGGGCTGGAAGTTCTTCTGTCTTCGACTTGGGCTGGAAGTCCTTCTGTCTGAGGGTTCTTTGCCCGCAAAGGGGGGCGAGTTTCGGGTCTTATGTCGCGTTCAGGATCTTCCCCTGCCCGCGGTCCTGCTGCAACTCAGCCCAACTCCGGCTGCATCTCCAACTGATTTCTGCCGACTGGGGTCCTGCTTATATTGACGCCGCAACAAACCGGGGTGGGTCGGTCAGCGTCAGGGTTTCTCGATAATTTCAAAGTCGTTTAATTTTGACTTTCCATTATCGTTATTGTTTTCACCCCTACTTTCTCACAGTGCTCTTGGTGGGGCGGCGTATCTGGATCTCTCTCATGTCAGGTGATCGCTCTCACCAATCGTTCCCGATCGAACCTTTCTTTCTCTTCTTTTCCGCAGCCCACGTGACCGCCTCATCCAACAGTTATTGATCGAGGTTTTTTTCCTTCTTCTTCCGCGGTCTCGGATTGTATTCGACCAATTGTTATTGACCGAACACCCTCTCCCTTTTGTTGGCGGGGTGTGGTTACCTCGTGCTGGTTTTAAAAAAACAAAATACGATTTCGGACGTACGCAAATGACAATCTTTAGCTTTCTTTCACCTGGACTTTGTCAAACAGCCCGCTGCTAATTAGTCTTGACTTTAGAAAAGGATCTTTTTCCGCCTTCTTGGCGCCCTCTGTGAGCCAAAAGCAATTGTCCCTCTTTTTACTTCTTTGTTTTACCTGTAGTCGAAAATCTTAATTATCTAGGTCGAAATATCTCTACTTTCTTAACGTGGGTGTCCAATTCTTAACAGGTCAATTCCGTATATCGTTTCACTGGTCACTCCCCTCAACCCAAAGACACTTTCTCTCAGATCAAAATTTCGTTTCTATTGTTCAAAAGAAAAAATAAAAAATTCTCTTCACTCCAAATTGATAAGGGGTTTTCCGCAAGAGTCGGTCAGAGGCCTCTGACCGACATCTGGTCGATATCATGTCTTTTTCCTTTTCTTTCTCTTTTATTATTTCCAATTCTATTCTTCCCTTTGTTTTAAAAAAAAATAAAGTCGACCACACGCAGACCTATCTCTACCATCAACTGGGTCATGCGTCATATGGATCTTTCTTTTTTTTTTCTTCCCTTCCTTCCTTTTTTTTTTTCTTTTTCTTCTTTCCTTAGGATCGTCTAGTACATTCTTAGTGAATTATTTTCAACTCAGTTATTTTCCGTTTTTAAAAAAAAAAAAAAAAAATTAACAACCTGTTTAATAAACTGAATAAGAAAAATTAACTCATATTTCTATGAATATTTCCAATAAATGCAAGGTGCCATATATACTAAAGCTTCGTTATTACAGAATGACTGTTTGATTTAATTCATCATTCCTAAGAAATGGTGGAATGAAAGATCGTTCTGAACGGATTCATTTTCAGATCCTTTCACACAAACACTAGTGTCCCGAAGGTTCTGAATGGCCGAGAAATTCCATAGAAAATATGTGTCCTCTGATAGGAATCGAACCTGAATCCTACACGGAACCGTCATATAGCCTGATGTGCTATACCATTTAACTACAGAGTATAAATATTTTCTATAAATGTCTCGGATATTCAAGCCGGTAAATGTCGTCAATACTATTTATTATAAACAGAGCATTTACTTAAATATTTGTATCAATAAAAATAACGTATAAACAATATATATATATATATATATATTGTTTAAAGATTATCTATCTAACTATCTATCTAATCTATCTATCTATTCATCTCTCTCTCTCTCTCTCTATATATATATATATATATATATATATATATATATATATATATATATATATATATATATATATATATAGCGTCTGAACAGTGAAATTGTCCAATTGCGCTTTAATGTTTATACAGTTGTATCTTGGATATCATTAAAGTTATTTTACTGGAATTCTCCGAGTTTTTATAATTATTGGACTACTTTCAGCAATAAGAATGCATCATTATTCTTCATGCTTGACACAAGAATCGGACATTCAAAAATATTGTTCATATATTTATATATATATATATATATATATATATATATATATGTGTGTGTGTGTGTGTGTGTGTGTGTGTGTGTGTGTGTGTTTATTTATGTATGTTTTTATGTATGTATGTATGTATGTAAGTATTCCGTGATGACGGAATGAATCCAAATGATTAGAGTTCAAATTGAACCAGAAAGGCCTAAAACAGATGAAAAATTCTTGCTAAATCGAATCACATTATCATTGTTACTAAACTTGAAGTATCAAAGCTACATATCATTTTCATTATTACTTGCAGTCAGAGAAACAGGTACAGAGGTGATATTTGTATCGTTCCTTGTGATGGCTTGAAGCCAGCGTAAATTTGACCTTGGGTCTTGTGACGCTCTTCTTCACACCATGTCGAATCGAGAATGAATGAATCCCCCTCAGCAAAACATCCGCATATTGATTCAATGTTACAGTCAACTTCTTCATTATGTTTTTGTGAGCGCAATTTTCGTAATATCTACTGGGCTTGCAGTCTCATTGAATCTTGTTATATTTATAGCAGTCCTTATTGAATTTAATGCGCATTTCCATGAGAAATTTGTGTAATCAATTATTAAGCACACATGATTTTCCCGCCATGATTCGTGACTCGGCGATACGTTTGAGCGGGCCAGTGTTCACGTGATCGACATGATAAATAGGCACACATCTCTCCTGCACATACATACGCCAATGTACATGCATTTCTGCTCAGCTATTCCAGCGATTAGTTATATATGTAAATATAAATAACTTATCTGAAACCTACATACATTGCAAGATGATCATGAATATCTTGTTATTTTCCGGGTTTTATCCATTTTTTTTAATTAAGCATGAAAGCGCGAGATACGGAAAATAACGATATGGTCCTCACACAACCTCACAATATATATATATATATATATATATATATATATATATATATATATATATGATCATATGAAGATATATATGAAAAAAGTCAGATAGATATGAAAAGATACACACAGATACGTGTGTGTATATATATTTAGAGAGAGAGAGACAGAGAGAGAGGGAGAGTGAGATACGTACATACATATGATCCCACTTATACAGCTAGATAGATATAGATGAATATACTGAGATAGATAGATAGATAGATAGATAGATAGATAGATAGATAGATAGATGAACACACTGAGATATATATCGATAAACAGATGAATGTGAACACAATGACATAGAGAGATAGATAGATAGATAGATAGATAGATAGATAGATAGATAAGCACACTGAGTTAGTTACAGAGATAGCGATAGTGTGTGTGTGTGTGTGTGAGAGATAGAGAGAGATATGAAGGAAATAAGATAGATAGATAGATAGATAGATAGATAGATAGATAGATAGATAAGCACACTGAGTTATTTACAGAGATAGCGATAGTGTGTGTGTGTATGAGAAAGAGAGAGAGATGAAGGATAGATAATAGATAGATAGATAGATAGATAGATAGATAGATAGATAGATAGATAGATAGACTGAGGTAGAGATGAACTCACTGAAATAGAGATATATATCGATAAATAGATGAATATGAACACACTGAGATAGATAGATAGATAGATAGATAGATAGATAGATAGATAGATAGATAGATAGATGAACACACTGAAAGAGATAGATAGCGTGTAGTTTTATTATCGGACATATATTGTATTCGATAATTGCCAAATATATACGTGTATTTATGAGAGTCTTTCTGAGAGATGGAAAATGAAAAGGAGAAAGTCTATGAAGTAAAGATGGAGAGAGAGAAAGAGAAATTGTGTGGGAGAGGAAAGAGTCAGAGAGAGCGAGAGAGTGAAATTAAAAAAGAGAGAAAGAATCATAGTGCGTGTATGTCAGTTTGAACTTTCTCTCCAAACAGGAATCAGAGGCGAGGCCCAAAATGCTATTACAAATAATTAATTCAATGTGATATGATGTTGCCGTTCCATCACGACATTAGCCGAAATAGAAAGCAAATTCCTTTGATTTTTCCGTCAATATGAGTCAAAGGAAACCTGCAGTAAATCCATCTGTTCTTCCCGATTTCAAAAGGTTTGACAATAAATTCACACGACAAAACTTAAAACGTTTAATGTTGCCGTTTATATATTAAATAATATTCATACATTAGTTATTCTCTTATAAGATAAGATTGTCATATTTAAAAAAAAAAACACAAAAAACTCTGAGGTTCATTTCAACTAGATTTTCTCGTGTATTTTTAATATTAATTTATTAATATTGTTTCAATAATTCAAAATTTTGTTAAATTCTGCCGACATTGGCTGTTCAATATTTTTATTGCATTTTACCAATTTTCAAACAAGATTTTGTGTATCGGGATAAAAAATTACTGACAAACTGTTCGAAATGTTTATTTTCTTATGATATTTTTTTTCAATTCCCATCGACCTTATCAGTATGTGTAAAATATTTACTCTCAAATGTGTAAAAATTCCTACAGAACGTATTGAAGGAAAGCAGGAAGAACGGACTAAAGATCAATGGCAATCTTTGTTAGCAAAGGGACACCATAGCATGCAAATTGCAAATTAGAGATAGCAAAATCAAGCAAGTACAACAATTTAAATACCCGTGAAATGTTTTAACAGAAGATGGAAAGTGGAACACCGGAAACCTAAGGCACAAAATGGATAGCGAAAAATTCCTTTCAAACGCTAAACTGATCGGATAATATATAGATAAACTATACATAAAAAAAGAAAAAAAATGTACCATATGACAAGATGTTAACTTTTGAAGAGGTATTTGGTTATTTGTATCTTAGAGTAAAGAAAATTTCGTTAGCAACGAAAAAAAGTGTACTGGACTGTTATGTAATATGTTCTATATAGCAGTGAATGTTAGACAATCTCCTCACATATTAAGAAAAGACTTGATGTAACAGAAATGTGATTCTACAGAAGGCTGCTGAGGTTATCATAGACCGAATATGCGAGCAACGACGAAGTTTTAGAAGAAGTGGAAACAAAAGGGGGGCGTATGCGTAGCATCAGAAAAAGTCAGTTGAACTTTCTAGGACAGATAATGAGGAAAGAGAACTTCGAAAATTTGTCATTCGTGGTCTTACCTGCTTAGACAGTAACAGCAGTAACAACAAAATGGCTGATGTCCTGCCTCTAGAGACAAGTTTGACCGGTGATAATAAAGAGACATGGCTGAGTAATGGAGAATAGCTCGGAATGAGGAATCGGACAACCGAGTTCGAATCCCATTCGTGATCATTACATTTATTTACTTTCATTTGAGAAGGGCATGAATTTATATTTTCTCTTCCCACCTATGAGTAAAATAGCAGGGCAGACTAGATCATATAGCCTTGAGTGGCAACGGGTTAAGGAAAAGGAAAAAAAAACTGCCTGGCGAGGATTGGGCTCTGACTTAGGAAACGCTACTGCGGCGGCAGATGGTGGGGTCTCCCCACGACCCTATGTGGTCATTGATCGTAATTGATATCAATAAATATTTCATTTTGATAAACGTATAAGCAGCAATAAGCAAATGAATTTAACATTATTAAACGCACTGATCGGATAATATATAGATAAACTATAAATAAAAAAGAAAAAAAAATGTACCATATGACAAGATGTTAACTTTTGAAGAGGTATTTGGTTATTTGTATCTTAGAGTAAAGAAATCTTAATCTATCAATAATGTAATAGATTTTTTTAGCTAAATGTCCACTCAATACAGGGCCCAGAGCCACTCAAGGTAGATGAACGAGGTTGTTGTATGGATCTAAAATGGTAGTCAGTAAGTTATGTGCTCATAGGCAAATTTTTTTTCGCAGTAGGTTGCCATTTCTTTCTGTGGTAGACAAGGCTATAGAACCCGGTTTGTCCTGCTATTTACCCATAGCTGGGGGTCGAAGAAGAGGATTCATACCTTGTAAAAAGTTGATGTTAATTATAAGTTAAAAGTTGACTTTGAACTTGAAGCGGTTAAGATTGCAGTGATCAGGAATAATTCCTCCTGGGAATATGCTCCACAAAATAGTGATTCCCGGAAAGAAGGTGTTTGAATTGAACTTCCTCCTTACTAATGGAATATGAAGGCAATGAAGATGATTCGACCCTGTGTATGTAGCATGGCCGGTCCTAGCTGTAAATGTCTGAACTCATAGAACTAAGAAATCGGTGGATGGGCTCCGTCAGACTATCTTGCCCTAGATACAGCGATAGTACATATGGTCTCCCTACGGTCTATGGGCCACGTGATCGTGAATAAGGAATTAATAAACGTAAATATTTCAAAATTATTAATTAATATTACAAAAAAATTAGTAGATCCAGTGACAGGACCCAAAGAGTGTGAGTTCAATACCCGGTTAAGGCAGTGGCGAACTTTCAGAGGGAAATTAACAGGAGATAACTTATAAGTGACATCCATCAAACATGGCACGTGGAACTAGAACAGTCTACCCCAGTGAGCGAAATAAAGGGTTCAGTTCTTAATTCCAACCACCTGAAGAAAGCCGGAGCGTACAACAGCCTAAACATGGTGATAAATATGGCGACAAAGATGAGGACAATAGTCCGAATAATGTAAATAAAGACATTATGAGTAACAATTAAAACCTAGAAATATAGCATAACAGATAAACAAGAAAAGCATTATTTTTACAGTACGGTTCATCTTGTACAAGGGCACTCGAGTTAGTGGGTAACGTTAAGGGTTAGTTTATATGGACATGAGGGGAAGATAACGGTTGAGTCTAGACTTGAAGAGGATAAGATTCTAGTTATCGTGGAAACATCCTCTTGGGAGTCTGTTCTCTAGTGAAACCTACTTCTCGTCGCCGATTGAATACGGAGGCAATGTACGTCGTATGCTACTAAGTTAAGCGGCATGGTTGGACCTAGCTGTGAATGTTATACCTTTTTTGAAGGTAAAGTAATTCCTTCTTAGAATAAAGCTCACGTGTGCATTTGAAGAGTAAATATCGAAGCATTCATTTTCCGTGTATGCGGACGTACAGTAGAGACAGCTTGGCAAGGTCATTCCTCTCTGCTACCGATTTTCTTTATCAGAACAAATGTGTTTAATTTATTACGAATTATTACGGCAAAGTGATTACATTTTGTTTTTATTATTATATCGTTTTATTTCTCCTTTCCTTTCCATTTCGACCCTATTAGTAATATTAATCGAAACCGCTCCACTGCTACCATTTATAGCTGTGTTGGGTCGTCATCTTTGCGCATGCGTACAAGGTTGGCTAACTCAGCCTCGTTCTAAAAAAAATCGAAAATGAATAGATCTTTTACGTATCCGGTTCGGTGTAGAATGATTAAAAAGTGGGCGTGAGGCACACTGGCAAACGCGTTGCACTTTTCACACTCTATCCGGTTTAAGGGAACTGAACAAATAGTACGGTAATTGCCAGAATCACCTGGCATAATAAGAAACCGCTAACGTCAGACATCAATGTGATGAGCAGACATCTTAGAACGGAAGTCGGGGATGGAAATGAAGAGGCGAGAGTCGGGTCTTGCAGTGCCGATATGACGGAGAAGATGGAAAAAGTTGAACTGCAGACGCCAATTAGATTATTAACTGGATTGGCGGCGACTTATCAAGTGATGGAATTCAAAAGGGGTTTTTGATATGGAAGAAGGATAAAAGTAAAAAAAAAAAAAATCCATTTTCTTTTTTTTATTATTTGAGAGTTTCGCTCTCATTTGACTTTGCCGATCAGGATTTGAAAAGAATGCTAAGTATATTGTTGCGGAAGTCCCATATCAGTAGCTAATCAGAAGTTGAACGAGAGAAAAAAAATTAAAAAAAGGTCTTATTGAAGCACTCGTCAATCAGTATCCCCGTAATCACTCTTGTGAGACCTAAGGGAGACAATTAAGATATAATCGAGTATTTTAATATATTCATATCATTTACGGACAAGACTCAGAGAGACGGACACGCAAACTGCTATATATTGATCTTTTTTATTCTTAATATGTTTATTTTCCAGTTCTTGTATAGGTTTTCTTGCTTTTTTGCTAGTAAATAATTATTGTTTGTTGAAGCAACACTTTTGATACAAACACATACACACACACACACACAAACACACACACACACACACATATATATATATATATATATATATATATATATATATCAAAATATATATATATATGTGTGTGTGTGTGTGTGTATTGATATAGATATATATATATATATATATATATATATAAATATATATATATATATATATATATATATATATATATATATATATATATATATATATATATATAAAAAAATATATATATATATATATATGTAATATATATATATATATATATATATATATATATATATATATATATATATATATGTGTGTGTGTGTGTGTGTGTGTGTGTGTGTGTGTGTGTGTGTGTGTGTGTGTGTAGTTAGCTTCATGCTTTACAAGGCCTGGCGACCACTGACATAAAGGACTACGTTTGAAGGCCATTTGTGTGTACCGGAGTGGAAGATAATGGTTAACCTAGGTTTGAACAGGTTAACATTGTAGTGATCGTGGAAACATCCTGTTAGGAGTCTGTTTCACAGAACAGTGGTTCGCAGGAAGAAGCTGTTCGAGTGGAACTTACTTCTCACCGATGAGATATGGAGGGTATGTAGGTAGTTTACTACGATGTAAGTGGCATGGCGTGTTCTTACACATGCGCATATATATATATATATATATATATATATATATATATATATATATATATATATATATATATGCCCCCGGAAATCCGGTTGAGCTCTCTAGGAAAAGAGGTTTTAAAAAAAAAAAAAAAACAGCCGTCCGTACTGCTATTAAGCTTTACTCTTTGAATTGAGTTCTACGAGCCGATGGCATATTTCGTATAGACAAAAATGTTCCCTTCCGTTTCTGCCGTGCGACGATGTCCTAGATGATATCAAATCACTCGGGTTTCAATCCCGGCTTGATGCAATCAGACGTGTAGTCACACTGAGTAGCTGAGATCCAGCGATACAGTCTCTCTGTGGATGACTATAGATTGATTATTATATTTTGTCGATACTCATGTTTGAGAAGATGACCTGATTTTTTTTTTTTTTTTTTTTTTTTTAGATGTGGGAATTAAGTCCACTGATCTTGTTAATTCAAGATACATAATATGGGAAATGTATTAAACTCCCATCTCTTTGGGTAAAGTCATATTTTAGATTACTTCAACCAGCATTTTTATCCACTGGGCCTTTTGTCCTTGGGGATAGAAATTCCGATGTACATCACCTAAAGTAGGCCGGAGTGTACAACGACCGAAACGTCGTGTATATGGCAATAAAGATAGCGACAACAGACCGAACAATGTAAACCATGTAAATAGATTTAACCTATATTTTCTTTATATTCTTTCTGGTTAAACGTATTTACTTTTCTGAAAACTCTAATATAATCGTTTTCAATCCGAGGTTAGATGTGTTTCCCGTGTGTTATGGTCTGGTTCCTTGTACCACGGTGATAGTCCAAGGTAGAACCAATAAAGAAGAACTCGAACACGGATATGGAATAACACATATATATTACAAACAGGAATATATACAGAGAAGTAGAAGTGTTAGTATGAACAATCAGGTTTAGTAGAGAGAACAATGTAGTCTCGACCAGTATCATTATTCCAATGTCTTGCAGTAATTGTCTGAACGCGACTCTGTTTCGGACTGCCTCTGACTCGACTCTTGACTCGACTGGAACTACTGACTGACGATATTTATTGCTGTAGATTTACAACAAATGTGGCACAAGGCCAAGAAGGGGGTTGGGGAAAAGGACGGTCATCACTTGTCTTAATATAAAACTTAGCTAGCCACAACCACTGACCCTATCATACAAAATGATATTTCTATCAACAAAACAACACATTTATCCATACCTTTCTTACTACATCCACCAAAATACCTCTTTGTCTCAATGAAGATCCTAAATAGTCCCCTTATGTACAAATATTGTCTGTGGGGGGAGGGGCATAAAAACAATAATTTTTAAAAGATCCCCAATGAGTATATACAATATGACATGTAATATATTTACAAGAAACTAAACAAAAAGGTGTTAGTAATAAAACCCCCTACAAACCTTTAATGTGGCAGAAATATCAGATAATCGGACGAAATCGATGCGGGACTCTAAAAATAAAGGAAACATTCATTCCTCCAAAGCATTTACACAGGTACACACTCATTCATGCACAACAACAAATACGAAAAACACACACGCGAAACGAAAGGCGCCCCGCATCCACCAGAGAACTGACATCCCTGACCACCTAAACAATGGAGGGGATGGGGCGTTAAACTAAAGGAAAAAAAGCGCGGACAGAAATAAAAGGAGCCAATGAGCAAACACACCCTCGCTAAGTTTACTGAAAAAGGAAAGAAAAACTAATCAAATACAAAAACCTAATCTAGCCTAATCTCTTAAGTATGGAATAGTCCATTATTATTATGGGTAAGATCCCATAACACCGTGATATTCTGATCATGTTCACATTCGAATTTTTCTTACATTATCAACCAATTCTTTTTTGTTTAGTAGGCAAGAATTTGATTCAGATCTCAGACGAACGATATTCAAGGCAGGAGCATTCAAGGATGATTCCAGTGAAACTGGGAGTGGATTTTATCACAGACGTCTTTGCTCCAAGCAAACCTCACGTAAGAGGGGAAAGTAAATAGTTTTGAAGAAGAATTCAAAAGAATTAGATGAAGAAAAATGGGTTCGCAAAGTCAGAAAACAGGTTTATGTAGCTTTTAAATGTGTTTGGTAGATGCTAAAAAGTACAAATCCTAAAAAGTTCATTTCGTTTAGTCTGACTTCAAAACTTTTTGAAAGCTTAAATTTAAAATGTTTGTCTGATGGCGAAAAAAGTGTCAGTATCTTTAATTTAAATGAAAATGAAGCCAAACTCTATCCCATCTACAGGAATCAATACGCAGACGTACAGAAACACACACACACACACACACACACACACATATATATATATATATATATATATATATATATATATATATATATATATATATATATATATATATTTGGGATATATATATATATATATATATATATAGGTATATATTTTGTATATATATATATATATATATATATATATATATATATATATATATATATATACCTGTGTCTATTCTGATGCTGACCTAATGGATAAGTTTAATGTTTTCATGTATAATTTTACTTACACAGGTAAGAAAAAACAAAATACTAACAATGTGATGTAAATTAAAATTCATCTGAATATTCATATATATGCGATGCGCGTAATATATATATATATATATATATATATATATATATATATATATAAAAGATACCTATATAAAGATAGGTAGGTAACTGTTTGTGCACATATGAAGACGTCTGTCTTGTTTGAAGAGAAAATTTCAAGAATGGCGGCAAGAAAAAAGTGATTTGGATGAATTTTCAATCAAAGCAATCAGTTGATTAATATTTACTTCACGATAAGATGACTCAAAAGAAAGAAAGAAAGAAAGAAAGAAAGAAAGAAAGAAAGAAAGCGGTAACAAGCTCAAAAGAAAAAGGAGCCGGTTAAAAACAAGAAAGAAAGAAGGAAGGAAAGGTATGATGAAAAAAGTAAGAAAAACAGAAAATGATAACAAACTAGAAAGTGAAAATTATCAGGCAAATAAAGAAAGAAAGAAAGAAAGAAAGAAAGAAAGGAGGAATAAATGATTTAATGCATGTATGAGAAAAAAGAAAGAATGAAGGAACGACAAAGAAACAAAGAAAGAAAAGAATAAAGGAATGAAGAAATTCATGAATGAGAGTGATAGAATAAAGGAATGAAAAGAAGGAATGAATTAAGGAATGCATGAATGCGAATTACAGAAAGAAAAAGTGAAGATAAAAGGAAATATGAAAAGAGAAAGAAATAAAGGAAGAGAAATAATTAAATGAAGGAATGCATGAATGAGAAAGAACGAATAAGATTAAGAAGGAAGTGATAACATGCCCCAAAAGAAATAGGTGCAGGTAAAAAAAAAAGAAAAAAAAACAGAAAAAAAGAAAGAAAGGTAGAAAGAAAAAGGAAAGCGTTAAGGAATGAAAAAGGCAATAAATGGTAACAAGCCAGAAAGTAAAATTAGTAGCCAAACAAAGAAGAAGAAAATAAAGAAAGAAAGAAAGAAAGAAAGAAAGAAGATAGAAAGAAGGAATAAATGAAGAGATTTATGAATGAGAAAAAATGAATGTAAAACAAACAAAAGAATTAAGGAATAAAAGAATTCATGAATGAGAAAAAAAACAAAAGAAAGAATGAAAGAAAGACAAAGAAGGAATGAATGAAGGGATGCAGGAATGAGAATGAAATAGACAGTGAAAGAAAGCGAAGGTAAAAAACGAGAAAGAAAGAAATTAAAGAAGAGAAATAATGAATGAAATAATGTATGAAGGAGAAAGAAAGAAAGAATAAAGAATGAAAGCCTAAATGAATGAAGGAAAGCAAAAAAATGGTAACAAACCAGAAAGTAAATTTAGCAGATAAAAGAAAGAAAGAAAGAAGAAAAAAAATGGAAGAAGGCATGAACGAGAAAATAAGAATGAAAGAAAGAATGAGAGAAGGAGAAAGAAATAAACAAATAAATAAAAAAGGAACGAATGAAAAACTAATGAATGAGAAAGAAAGAAAGAAAGAATGAAAGATAGAAAGAAAAAAAGAAAGAAAGAAAGAAAGAAAGCGAAGGTAAAAAAAGAATAAATGTAAAATAAAGAAATAAAAGAAAAAAGAATGAATGAAGAAATTCACGAATGAGAAAGAAAGAGAGAATGAAGGACGATATAAAATGAAGAAAATAAACAACAGCCATGAATAAAAAGAAAAAAAAATGAGAGAAATAAAAAACAGTTGTAGAAGATCAATTTTCTTGTTCCGTGTATTCGTTCAACTAGAGCAGTGGTTCTCAACCGGGGTCTACATGGACCCTAGGGGTCCATGTAATATTTCTGGGGGTCCACAGGCAAAACACAATTGTTGTGTTAATTAAAAATAGTAATAATAATTATTATTATAATTATAGTAGAATATTTTATTTGTATTAAATTAGTTTTCATTTAAAAATAAAGCTTAATCGTATACTATTTCTTTGATAACTAAAACCTTAAAATTTATATTAGTGAAGAATAGAAAATTGTTCTTATGTCCAATAGCTATGAAGGGGTCCACCAAGATAAAAAGAAGGGGAAAGGGGTCCATGGGTAAAAAAAGGTTGAGAACCACTGAACTAGAGTGACACATTATTGTGAACCAGTGCCAGCCTACACAAGGCGATAGTGTTAGCAAAATTTAATAAATATCGATATATATAGAGAGAGATTAATAGATAATACGTCCAATCAGTGCTTAACTGGTGCAGGAAATGGCTTGAAAATTTTAATGTCTCCAAAACTAAACTGTTCTCATTTAGCCACCATAGGGAAATTTCACTGCCAGCCATCAGCATTGTTGATACTCGATTCCTGGAGAGCATATAGTTGCGCCATTTTGGCCTCAGGTTTTAAACTGACTTGAATTAGAAGAACTACATTGAATCAATAGCTGAATCTACCGCATGGAAACTTGATTCATTGTGTCGTGACAAAAGGATTTTCTCGCCGTACATTGTTGCCATGTTTGATCTGGCGCTTTTGCTATTCATCTCGAGATAAATAATATATATAATAGATCCTGCCTTGGCATCTCGACTTCAGTCACTATCTCACTGACGTAACGTCTCTTCCCTCTGTCTTTTTACAAATATTTTCATGGCAACTGCTCGGACGAGAATTTTCCCGTGGTACCCCCACTACAGGAATTTAAGCACGCGACTAGAAGGGCATCTCTTTAACTGTTGAAATAGTTAAATTTGGTCATCACTTCTATTCCAAAGGTTTGTTTTCTCACGCTTTACGATAGTGGAACTCCATTTCGCTTACTTGCTTCCCTGATAACGACAATCTTCAAAAATTTAAATGCAACGTCAACCGCCATCTTTTGTCGTTTCGAACATTGTTCAGCTTTTATCCTTTCCTACACCCAGTCTTTTCTCTCACTTTCACTTTCGTACTAATGTCATTCCGACCTTGCTTGCTTTTTATCAGTCCGGTAGACTGATAAAAAAAGAAAAGAAAAACTACATACCACATTAGTACTACTATTTTAATCGTTACTATCATTACACTCATTCCTAGTTTCACAGATACTATCTCTCTAAACTGTTCACATTTTTATGGTATTTATAATAATAATAATAATAATAATAAACATGAACACTACCCAGACCCGGTTACGGAGATAGGACCTGTTACAATTCTTTGGGACTACACAATGCACACTGACATAATATTCAAAGCCAACCGCCCAGATATTGTTATTAAAGACCACAAACAAAAACAGTGCCTCCTTATTGATATGGCAGTCCCTGCTGACTGCAATGTATCTTTGAAGATATTCAAAAAGCTGTCAAAATACAAGGACCTTGAAATAGAAATCTCGAAAATGTGGCATATGGGAACATCAACAATCCCTGTTGTAGTTGGAGCCCTAGGATTGGGTGGAAAAGGTTGCAGTAGACTAACTGAAGGGATTCCTGGAAGTCCATGCCTCAAGGAGATACCAAAAATTGTTCTGACAAGTACAGCCCACACTTTACGAAGGGCTTTATCTATGTATTTTTTTTTTTTTTTTTTTTTTTGTCAGTGGAAAGTGTCATGACGCCATTTCTAACCTTAGGTTCCTGGGCGGGACCCGGAAAGAAATGTGTAAACGCCAGAAATCAAAGAAAATAAAAATAATAATAAATGGCGCAGCTACCCGAATCCGCGAATGGCAGTCTATTATGGTGACTAGCTAATCCCGTTTGAAGATGCCTGCTCAGGCACATTTGTATTTGTTCAACACCCACAGATCCCACTTGTGGTTTATATTGAATCTATGAGTAGACCTTAGTTACAGTTTCTGCGAGAGATCACGTTATCTAGCGTGATCATAAGTCTGAACCAAGAAAGCCGGCTCAGACCCTCGGTCACAATGACTTGTGACTTTGTGCTAGCATAACCACCGACGACTTCCAAGGGTTCCCTCTATCCAATTTTACACACGAGGCTTGGATTAACCCGTGGTATGTTTTACAGGAACTTTTCAAAGATCCAGCACACTGGGATCGCCTCTTCCAGACCATCAAGAAGTTACCTTCCTGACAAATCAATCATGGTCAGATCGAACCCGTGGGAATGTGAACGTTCTAATCAGTCGGCCATGTGTCAATAATAATAATAATAATAATAATAATAATTATTATTATTATTATTTCATGCTCTTCGTCTTATATTCTCGCATATATGCCCCCATTAACACGCTAACAAGCAAAAGTGAAAAATTGTTCACAGTCACATACCTCACCACTTAGCGTCATTTGCGATGGGGTCATCTGCCCGGTACTAAAAACCAAAAAAAAAAGGCCATAAAAATCTTTTTTGGGTGTCGCAATTGGTGATTTTCGCACTGAAGTCTTCTCCGTCCACTAGATTTGAAATGTAGTCCAGTTAAAAAAAAAATATTCCACAGCAAGCATCAAACATTACCTGATATATATATATATATATATATATATATATATATATATATATATATATATATATATATAAAAATTTCATTAAAACAACTGATAAGGAACTGCTAAGTTTTATTTGTTTATTTAATTTTTCTTGTGTTCTTATAATTTTCTTCTTTTCTGGACATAAATTATGTAGAAATTGACCTAATGTTCTGTATGTCTGAGGCTTATTTTGTTTTGTTTTTTCTATTAACTGAATGTATGGATTGTTTTATGTATGTATCTAGAGTTATAAGAATGTTTTATTTTCCAAAAAAGTGACCATAATATGACGGTCAATAGAGTTGACAAGTTCATTGGGGTGTTGGTGTCTATACACCCGAATATGTTTTTCATTCGGTGCTATGGACACCATCTTGTCTACATTGAAAAGTCCTATATCGAAGAAATCAAGACATAGGCTGATATTCTATCACTCCAGAAATTCTACCTGGAATTATATATATATATATATATATATATATATATATATATATATATATATATATATATATAAATGTTTACAGCGAGCTTCATCTTTTACAAGGACTGGCGGCCACTCGAGATAGAAGGCTTCGTTTGAAGGCCATTTGTGTGTACAGAAGTGGAAGTCAATAGTTAACACTATGCTTGACCAGTTTAAGACTGGAATAAATTTGTTCGGAAGTTTGCGTTGTTTGACACTGAAGATAAAATCTGCAAAAGGTACTGTCTGTCTGAGGTCGTATGATTTGATAGAGAACTGTCACAGTATAACATAACCGGCTGCAAACGAAAAAACGGTGTGAAAGAAAGCAGGATACTACTACTAATACTACTACTACTAATAATAATAATAATAATAACATCAACAACAATACAAGGATATGGAAATCGAGATAAACAGGATGTGGGGAATGAAGACTGAGACTGTACCAATAGTATTCGGAGCACTGGGCCTCGTGAGAAAAAGAAATGGACAATTTTACTAACAGTGTCCCAGGTAACATCAACATACAAGTTGCCCAGAAGATCTCCCTAACAGGAACATCGCATATACTAAGAAAAATGTTATCAATTAAATGATAATTATCCTATAGGCCATAATTTAAACCCGGCTCTACAGGACACAATGCAGGAAACATAACATACATAAATAATAATAATAATAATAATAATAATTATTAATATTATTATTATTATTATTATTAGAGACTTCAAACAAAAAAAGTGACTCCTTATTGATATGGCAGTCCCTGCATACTACAATGTACCTTTGAAGATTTTCAAAAAGCTATCAAAATACAAGTACCTGGAATCAAAATCTCAAAAATGTGGCACATGGGAACATCAACACTCCCTGTTGTAGTTGGAGCCCTCGGATTGGTTGGAAAAAGTTGCAATAGACTACCTGAAGAGATTCCTAGAACCGCATGACTTAAAAAGATAGAAAAAATTGTTTTCACGAGTACTGCCCACACCTTACGAAGGGCCTTATGTATGTAAAATATTCTTTCTTTTTTTTTTTTTTTGGTCAGTGGAAAATGTCATGATGCCATTTCTAACCTTAAGTCTCTGGGCAGGATCCGGAAAGAAATGTGTGCACACAAGGAATCAAAAGAAATAAAATAATAATAATAATAATAATAATAATAATATTTTTTGAGGACATATTATTATTACGGTAAAGTGATGTCTGTGGTAAACTTACAATCGACTATAGTAAACGTTGAGTATAAACTTTTCTTACTGGTGGCCCCAATTTCGCATATATGACGCAAAGCGATTTTTAACCATCTTTGGAGGGAAAAAGTCCGTCTTGCCAAATACAGAATGAATTTCGAACATGCTAGATTTCGATATTCAGCCAAAGTAAACCCAGGATTACCAAAAAAGGCTTTTAAGGAAACAAGTTCGCCTCACCCATTGGAAGATTGACGTAACTCCTTTGGCTTTGTGCCGTATATAACATAACATTAAATTAACACATAGAGAATTAACACGTATAAAATCATTAAACAAATAAATGAAAGAAAGAAACAAAAGAGATTAAGATTAAAAAAAAAAAGATTAGTTCAGCCATAATTGAAGAAAAGAAAACAAAGTACAATAAAGGAAAAAAAAAATTGATAAATTGTTTTTAAAAAATAGTAAAGGAAAAGACAGACCGTAAGACGTTAAATGAAAGACAAAGAGAAGAAATAGAGAAAAAATAAAAGCAAATTTCTTTCTACTTTGCACTTGTCATTAAAGAAAACATCTTAATTTAATAATTTCGACAAGATGCGTTTTGTAAAGAAAAGGAAAAAAAAATCCTTTTTTTTTTTTTTTTCAAAGAATCCCTAAAGTTTCTTAAAAAAAAACGTTATTCGAATTAAACGACATACAACTTTGTTTACTTTCAACGATTCTAGATATTTTTTTCTTTTGTCTAAAAACGGAACACAAGGAACAATGTAACCTTCACTCAACAATATACGAGTATCGGTCAATACACAGGGTGCGATACGTAAATTATCGCCATTTCATATTCTTAATTTCGCGCATGCGCGTTCTTGTTTTTGATTTTGTCGACTGCACAGATTAGTTGGGCACAGATTAGTTGGGCACAGTCTGTGAGAAAAAGAGCGACATAACGAAATTCAATAATTTGTAGACGACAATTCATCCATAGCTTCTAGTAGTGATTTTACAGACGTAGCTTAGAAGGGGGTGAAATTACAGCATTTATTTAGTGGATCTAGAAGTTTCTCAATCACATATGCGTATTTCGTTGACTGTGAAGTTATGTGTCGTGCCGTAAAAATAGCGTTGACCTGTTGAAACCATGTTTGAACATTCGCACTGAAGTCAAGCAAGGTTAGCTTGAGTGTAGATTTAGTCTTGTTGTCATTTGTTTCCGCCATATTGTTTTACATTAAATATAGAGGTACCACTGGCTGCTCGGTCAATGAATGCCAAATGTTTCCTTCTTAGGAAAATGATTTTTTTTTTTTATCATTGCCATAAGTAACAGTAAAATCACGCAAAGCATAGCATTCAGGCACACACAGAAAAACACACGCGCACACACACTAGTCCTTGGTATGACGATAAACTACATTCAACAACAAGGCCTCTGATCGAGGGATTGGAGATTTTAAGGAGCTTTGAACCACCTCATAATTGCTGTTGTTCCTATGTCTACTCTGACTAGGAGACGTAGCATTCGTTAGGCTCCCAGCTATGGGTAAACAGTGGACCTCTAAGCAAAAGTCTATGAAAGTATAAAAATAAATTTTAGAGTAAAAATACCGGCAATAAATTTTCATTAAGAAATTTACCAACATTACATATTGATAGTAAATTTACCAACAATGCGCATGTTCTAATTACAGCGACTTCACAAAAATCTGTTTTAAATACTACCAAACCACAGATATGAACGGACTCTTTCGTGATATTAAACCATATATTCGACAATTTCTTAAAGCAAATTGTATTGCAACATATAAGTTCAACAAAACAACATAAAACGCACATCACCGCCTCTAATAATCATGTCTACACTACAGTAAACCAGTTGCCATCCAAGGCTATAGAACCTGGACTGTCCTACTATTTACCCATAGCTAGGGTAGATGAGGAGGAGGATTTGTAACTTTCTCAAGGGGATTAGCATGTAGAATGTAGTGAATTCGACTGGAATTCGAACTCGGCTCTCCGATTCCTCAATCCGAGCCGTTATCCATGACTTCACAATGCAACCATGACATATTAGCTTCATAATTCAAAAATGCGTTCAATTATCGGAACAATTTTTGGAATGATAACAAATCATCTAGAAATTATAGACAATATATATATATATATATATATATATATATATATATATATATATATTTTCTATAATATATTATATTAGATAGATAGATAGATAGATAGATAGATAGATAGATAGATAGATAGATAGATAGAAGCAGAACGAGATAGAAACAGAATGATAGATAGAGTGAAATAGAACGGGATAGATAGATGGAAACCATCTTGTATATATATATATATATATATATATATATATATATATCTGACTGAATAAATTACAGAAATTATGTCTGCTAATTTTAATAAAATCCTTTCGTACTCATGAATAATCCTTCGTGTGTTGATGTTAAAGTATGAGAAAAACGTACTATAGCTATTTAAATTTCTTTTATTTGCATTTCCAAAGTACTTTCGATCTTCTTCCAAGATCATCTTCAGAGGTGCAATTAAAAAAAATATATGTTGTTCATTAGTACATGTATTTATACAAAGCTGTGCGTTCTTATCCATTACCGTAATTTTTTCATTACGCTTTTAAATGGAAAACGGTTGACAATGTGCTGAGCGTTCATTAGAACGTGAAAGAATTATCCTTTATGAATTTTTTTTTTTTTAATGTTACAATGTCATGGTCATGCGCGCATTAAAGCATTAAAAAAACTGTTCCTTTACAGGCATTTCAGAACATTACTGCAGTATTCATATTTGATTCTGTTCAATGCCACCTGTAATTTTTTAATATAAATTACTTCTAGTATCTGTAATCTGAATTTGTTGTTTTCATAGTGTAAGTTCATTGATTGATTTAATGGGATATAATAGTGTAGAGTGGAAAGTTAGTTTTGTGCGTTTTGATAGAACCATAAATGTATCTTGGTTTATGGTCTCCGATTATTTTGTTCCGCATTGTTAGCTGTGATTATTTTATTAATTTTCACTTTTAGCTGAGGAGTAGGGTTATTAGTAATTTTGGTGTGATCAAGTAACTGTATAATTATTGAGTTGTAGTCAGATTTGTTTAAAACAACAAAGCTTTTTTAATTACTGTTTCT